AGTTCACACCACCTGCTGGGGAGACAGGGGCTGCATGGTGTGACAATGGGTGGGACCAAGCCCTGACCAGTATTACTTAACTACACATACCTCATGCCTTCTATTTAAACCTAAACCTCATGTCAGGGTCCCAAAGGTGGGCTTTTGTTGGGGTGTCACTGAGTCTTTGCTCATTTTAGTTGATTTTAAAAAATAAAAAAAATGTGTTTTTATTCATGTATGTGTGTGTCTATGTGAGTGTATGCAGTGTGTGTATGTGTGTGTGTGTGTGTGTGTGTGTGTGTGTGTGTGGTGTATGCATGTGTTTGTGTGTGCATACTCACTTGAGGAAGCTGGAAGAGGAATTTGGATCCCTCGGAGCTGGAGTTAAGGTGGCTGTAATCGGCCAATGTCGGTGCTGGGAAATTGGATTCCTCTGGAAGAGCAGCAAACACTCTTGATCACTGAGCCATCGCTCCAGCCTCTTGCTGACTGGGTCATGTTGAAGTCTTCTCATTTCTCTGCGTTTTACTGTTAACTCTGTCTTTAGTTGACCTGTTGATGACAGATGGCTGAGCCTCGCTTGTTAGAGCTACCAGGCCCAGGCTCCAACCATCATAACTCTGGCCACACGACAGGAAGCCCAGAAGGCATGAATGGCACCCTCCTTGCTCCTGCCCTCCCTGCGTCTCTGCCGTCCTAGGCTTCAGAGTGTCTTCACGCTGAAGTACAGCTGCCGAGAGGGAGGGACAGTGGCAGCTCAGGCATTCAGAAGATACCACTTGTTGTTTTCAGTGAGGTCAGATGCTGGCTCTCAAACAGCCCTGGCTTCCTGTCGCCGTGAACTCTGTTTAATGTCTCAGCTGGACTTGGCTGAGGAGGAGGCTGCAAGGGCCATGCTCTCTGCTGGCCTGTATGTGTCCCTTCTGCAGGCCTGGCAGCCTCCTCTCTGCTTCTTCTGGAAGCTCTCAGCAGGGGGAGCTGGCTCCGGCAGTCAGTGAGAAGTGGGTTTGAGCACATGGAGGAGCAGCCAGCTGGACTTTTCAGAACTAGCTCAGTTCTTTTTGTTATTTCCTTCATCAAAATGGAGATGGGCTGCTGAGTGTGAATGTTTTGTGGGATAGAAGTTGCCCATCTTTGTGAGATTTTCCTTGTACATTCGCTAGTTAAAAACACCTTTTGCAGACATTTGTTCTTATATGACTTTGCACACAACGTGGAAGCAGAGAGGCAGGGCAGCATCCCTACTGGGATGTGTTTCTAGACAAAAGATGGCAGAGGGCAAGTTTGGTTCTTTGTGGGCTGGTGTGTGTGTGTGTGTGTGTGTGTGTGTGTGTGTGTGTGTGTGTGTATGCTTGTCTGCCTGTCTATATGCATGTGATCTGATAGGAAGATCAGAGGTCAACCTCAGGGATCATACCTCAGAACTTATCCATTTTGTGTTTTAACACAGTCTATCACTGGGCGGAGGCTCACTAATTAGCTTAGGTTGGTCGGCCAGGGTATCCAGTTGTCTTTGCTTCTCTGGAACTGGTATCTCTCTCTCTCTCTCTCTCCCCCCCCCCCCATCTCTTACACACACACACACACACACAGACGCACACATGCACACACACATATACATAAATAAAACTAAATCTTTTCTTAAAGATAATAGCCAACAGATAACAGAGAAAATTTTAATTCCAAAAATGCAGGATGACCACAACAAAACGACAGTAAGAGTAAATAATAATAATGCAAATGTCAGAGGAATTTATGAATAAACCTATTGGTGACTATAGTGATTACTTCTTGGAAAAAGAGTTGTAGATAAACATGAAAATTTTATATGTAGTCACATGAATGAGATATTTGCTTGATTTTTTATTGTTGAGTATATAATTTTGAGTTGTTTAAATTAACAAGTATATAAAACAACAAATAATATCAAAATAAGCTCTTTCTAGTTGTCAGGAAGAAAGCCTTAAAGCTGATTACTTAGAAATAAAGTAACAAAAGTTGTTACATATCAAGACCTCGGTGTAAGGCAAAGCAGTAGCCAGGGCACACATGTAGCCTGGGATGCACAGTGTAGGAAGCAGCCAAGCTGGCTAAAATGTAAAAAAAGGACAATCCTGAGCAAAGGTCTAAACAGCAGTGAAATGAGACGAAACTTTGTTTGCTGCGGCAGAGAGTATCCAGAAGAACCTGCCGACCCACCACTGATCCAGTCAGGAAGAATGAAGCAGCATGACGTGCTTGCTCCACATCCAGACAGGAGTTAGCGCCTCCTGCTGGTGGGGATGTTTGGGGGCAAGGCCTTTGCTTTACATTGAGGAGGAAGTAAACTACTTCATCACAGAAAGCATCTGTCAGGTTAGACCTTCGTCCATGCACAAGGAGCCGCACCGACAGCTCCCCTAGAGCAAGATTTTCATAGGTGCCCTGTCCTGAATCACAGTGCTGGAAGCCATCCCTGTGGGACCTAGGTACGGGGAGGAGTTAGGCAGAGAAAGAACAGATGCTGCTCTAGCTGGGGAGGTGTGTAAGCATGAAGACTTGAGTTTAGATCCCCAGCACACACATAAAGCAGGGCACCATAGCGCAGTTTCAGAATCCCTAGGCAAGATGGAGGCAGCCACAAGAGAATCCCTGGAAGTGTGAGGGTTGTCTAGTCAGCAGCAAGCAGGCATTCTGTCTCACACAATGTGGAAGGTGTGACCCACCCCCCGTGACTGTTCTCTGACCTCTACAATGCACTGTAGCACATCCATGCACACCCCACACATGAACATGCATACACATACACACGTGTGCATACACAGAGAGATAAAAGAAATGAGACTCCATTCTAAAGGGAGAACAAGAAAGCGCTTTGGGAATTACCATAGGTAGTAAAGGAATAGCAGGGACGCGCTGGGGGAAGTACATATGGAAGATGGTCAAAAGGAGAGAAGAAAAGGAGAGTGGATAACCCACTGAAAAGAAGCTAGGCTGAAAGCCTGGGGCCAGGAGGCACAGAGATCTTAGCGAACTGAGAAAACTCTGCGGTCTGACAACCCTGAGCCAGAGGTTAGCAGGTGGGCAACCTCTGGAGCCACCCTTGTGCAATATAATACTCTACACTACAGCTTGATCTCGCCCCAGGGAGATCAGCACTCGGGGAGCTATACACTGTGAGGATAGGATCTCTGCCGACGTAAGCATAGCTCAGCACGGTGGTTGCTTTTCCGCTGTAATGCACTCGGGAGACACCCCACAGCTAGAATGGTAGCCACCCCAGGGGCTGCAGTCCAGGGAGTCTGGGAGCCCAGGCAGCCTGCACAGCTCACACACTGCAAAGCTAAGTGCGGCCAGCAGAGGCCCCTAGTATACAAAGAAGGGAAGCCCTAAAGAGGAGGCTGCTCCAGGAGCCATCAGGCACCTGCTGGGTAGAGCCTCTGTGGATTCTAGGAAGGGCAGGAGCCAGTTCAACCCACACTCTTCACTCTCCTCTTCCTCCTTCTCTTCTCCCATTTTGTTTTTTACTAATTTTATTCGTCGTCTCATTTTATTGTGTTAAGAACAATGAAAAGGTTTTATGTTTTTATTCTTTATGCCCTTTTCTAGATTAATTTTGTTACTGTGTTTTCTCCTTATTCTTTTCTTTTTTAAAATTTTTATTGAACTCTACATTTTTCTCTACTCCCCTCCTTGACTCTCCCCTCCCCTTTTACCCTCTCCCATGGTCCCCATTTACCAATTTACTCAGAAGATTTTGTCTTTTTCTACTTCCCAATGTAGATTAGATCTATCTATGTGTCTCTTAGGGTCCTCAGTGTTGTCTAGCTTCTCTGGGATTGTGATTTGTGTGCTGGTTTTCTTTGCTTTATGTTTAAAAACCATGTATGAGTGAGTACACATGATAATTGTCTTTTTGGGTCTGGGTTACCTCACTCAAAATGATGTTTTCTAGCTCTATCCATTTGCCTGCAAAATTCAAGATGTCGTTATTTTTTTCTGCTGTGTAGTACTCCATTGTGTAAATGTACCACATTTTCCTTATCCATTCTTTGGACCTTTTTTTTTCAAATTAAAAAGATCCTTTTTATTTCATGTGTGTGGATGTTTGGCTTGCATGTATGTCTGTGGATCACACCCAGGCCTGTTGACTCTGGAGACCAGAGAGGATGTCAGATTTTCTGCAACTGGAGTTACAGATAGTTGTGAGCTGCCATGTGGGTGCTGGGAATCGAACCCAGGTCCTCTGGAAGAGCAGCAAGTAGTCTTAACCACTGAGCCATCTCTCCGGTCCTCTTGCATTTTTTCTTGTGATCGGGCATTTTTTTTTCCTTTTTTCCTATCCTCCTCAATTACTTCTTGAATAAAGAAGTTTATTTGGCTCCCTTACTGCAATATCTGCAGTCCGTTTCTACCTCTGACACGGTTCTCACTTCTGAGACCGCATGCCCGTGTTGAGTGGAATCTTGGATGGCCCATCAATCCCTTGGTACTTAACCGATACACATTCTGTTGATTATTGAGGCCTCCTTACACTCCTCTCGGATAGAACAGTCAAACCCAGGCCAGTTCAAATATGATTCACCTTTAGGACCCGGGCTGCTAGGATGAAAAGCATGGTACAGCCAGAGCCTGGGCCTCCAAGGGAAGACGCTTGCGTGAACGGTTCCTCAGGTCTGTGGTTGGGTAACAGTAGCCCTTCCCGTGAGACTCATGGCCCGGGATTGGATCTGCAGCTGTCCGGACCAACTACAGGGCACAAGCTTCGGTTCTTCTGGCTTCTGGATCTCACCTGGGCTGTGGCTGGTCACACTATGAGCAGCCTCAGTCACACCTCTTCCTGATGTCTCCTCTTCTATGTCCTATTGAGTATGAGCAGGGCTTAGGTGGGCGGTGGTGGCTCACACCTTTAAGAGGCAGAGGAAGGCTGGTGCCCGAGTTCGAGGCCAGCCTGGCCTACAGAGTCCGTGCAGGGCTGTTAAATGCCTTAGGCCAGCCAACAGCTGTAAGAGAGGTGACCCCACAGTTAGGCTTCAGAGAATGTCAAGCTATTGATCATTCCGATGTTCACAGGGCAGGACTCAGGCACACAGGGTCTCTTCTCCCTGCCAGGCGCTGCCACCCGGCAGCCACACCTTCAGTGCCGCTAAGGGCAATACTTCGTCAAAACGTTTTGCTTCTTTTGTGTCTCCACTTTTGAAGTTTGTTTACATTGGTTTTGTGTGTGTGTGTCACTGCGTAAGTGTGGAGGTCAGAGGACTCCCTTCAGAAGACAAGGCTCTCCTTCTATCCTGTGGATCCCAGGAATTGAACTCACGCCATCAGGCTTGGTGGCAAGCCCCCTTCCCGCTGAGCCACTTTGATGGCCCTCCCTTTTTCTCAGTTTTACTGCTGTTTTGACTTACCTTATTAGTTTTATTTTTTAAAAGGGATCTGGCATTTTTACTTTTTTATAGACAGTTCTGAGCTCCTATATGGGTGCTGGGAATTGAACCTAGATCCTCTGGAAGAACAGTCAGTGCTCTTAACCACCGAGCCATCTCTCCAGCCCTATTTTTACTTTTTATTCCCCTTCTTACATTAATATAACTTTGTTTTTAAACTTCTATTATTACTGAGAAACCTTTGTTGGTATTTGCTTTTTCTGTTTTTTTCCTCTTTTTTCCCTTCCTTTTCATGACATTTCTCTCCTCCTTCCCCCTTGCCTCCTCTCATTTTCCTCTCCTGTTGTCCCCACTTCCTTCTCTCTGTGTCTTTTCTTCTCATTCACTGTCTTCACATTTATTCTAAATTTCTAAACTTTCACATTCTGCATTCATTTGGACGTTTCTGGCGTAGGTCAGTGTCGGCATAGGAGTGGCTTTCACTGGTTTTCAGTCGGTTCTCTGTGTTGTAGGCTTTCTGCTGTTGTTTTCTTCTCTCTGAACTGTGTTGGGGATCGAGCCCTCTAGACTAGGCTACTCACAGGAAGACCTTCCCTCCCCAGAAATCCTGGAAGAGAGGTCTCCCTAACAAATGCACAAACCGCAACACTGAAATGTGGAAGAGCCAGGCAACATGACCATGACCTAACTCACCAGATGGTGGTGGTGCGTGCCTTTAATTGCAGCACTCAGGAGTCAGAGGTCAGCCGGATCTACAGAGTGAGTTCCAGGGAGGGGGAAAATAAAGAGCCTAACTCCCCAGCCACTGATTTTTGAAGACACTAAGGCAGGCAAGATACAGAAAGACTCAGAAGTTTACTAGTAAAACTGACCAGTGACTCCAGATGATTCAGCAACAGATGGATTTACTCCAGGACCCAGAGAAGACGGTCAGCCATACAGAGGAAAATGTCAGCAAAATGGGTGAGACGGTCACCAGCATGGGTACAGACATCAACAGCATGACAGGAAAATTCAACAAGGAACTTGAGATTTTGAAAACAAAATAGAAACATTGGAAATGAAAAACTTAAAAAATGATAAAGCCAAAGCTAAAACAAAAGAAACCCACTCGTGGTAGGAAATATCTCCAACGCACTGAACCAAGCAGAAGAAGGAGTATCAGGAATGGAAGACAAAGATGAGGACATACAGAATTCATGTGTCAGTACAGAAAAGAAATTGAGACGCCATGAAGAAACCAAAGAAAGAAACCAGCTGACAGGAGCTGTGCTTAAACCCGAGACCAGAATCTGTTCGGTAAAGTTAGAGCAGGTAACTTTCCAGGCTAGACAACAAGTGGATGCCCAAATAGAGGCGTTTAGAACCCAGATCTCACCAGAGAGCGCCCCCATGACATACCAGAGTCCAGATGCCAGAGTGCAAAGCAGTTACACTATGCGGAGTTGCAGAGGGAAACACCAGCTTCCCCTGTAAAAGCCTGGAAGGCAGGCCAGTGTGATGCTCAGTCCTTAGTACCTGCAGGAGGAGAGACCTGACATTGGAAAGTCAGCCTCTGACCTCCCATTGTGTGCCATGGCATGGTGTGCACACCGAACACACATGCAGTGACAATGAGAGAGAATGAATCCTTTCCCCAGGCATGGTGGCCGGCACCTTTACCTGCTGAGCTATCTTGCCGGACATTTTTTCTCTCTCACTGTGTTGCTCAGGCTGGATTTGAACTCCTGAGCACCACTGATCTTTCTGACTCCTCAGAGGTTGGGAATCTGCGCAAATGTCCTTCTCCTTGGCCTTTTACTAACATCTTGTACCTTGTTTTCCATTTCTGGGCCAGTATCAACACACTGTTATTTGAAATGTGTCGTTTACATGAGATTCCTGCTGCGTTGTGCAAGTTCTCTGGATCTTGACCAGTGTTACCGTTGCAGCATCATACAGAGTTGTTCCACTGCCCTGACAATCCCCTTCCATGCACTTGGCATGTCAGCCTTCCCACCTCAAGGTCCTGCCAAGCACGCAGACTTTATTGTTCCATTATTTTGTCTTTCTGGAATGTCCTACAATGATGGGACTTGCACATTGTGGGGGTTTATCCATCCGCTTCCCACTTTTGCTGATTACAAACCTCTGTAAACATCTGTGTGCAACTTTTTGCGTGGACATGGTTTCCAGCAGATGCATCTGAGGGCAACCCCTGGGTCGTGTGGTCAGACCGGGTTTAGCTTTGCACGGAACTGCCGAGCTGTCTTCAGGCCATTCTTCATCCCTGGAGCTCCTGCTGCTCCTCCTCATTTGTGACCGTCAGATTCTTGGATGTCAGCCATTCTAAGGGGCGTGCCACGGTCCCTGCGGTGGCTTCCGTCTGTGGCTCCCTAGTGACACGCGATGTCTCACACCTGCCCCTGCACACGTCTGCCATCTGCCACTCTTCCTAAGATGGGTAGCCCAGGTGACAGCTGGGGGCTTCTGGCCCCTCAGAAGTCAGAGGAGATTCATTAAGCCCCCTATTCCAAGCCCGTGGATGTGCTAATGCCTCCTCGAGATAAACGGAGGCGAGATTAGACTAGAAGAAGCTTCTAGATGCGGGGGCATCTACCACACGTTCTGTTTCCACGTGGAACATGAGTGCCTTCCCAGCCCTCCCTCACGTGATCTCGGCAAGGGCCAATCTCCAGTGGGCGGGGCAGGTACTGTTTACTATTATACTTGAAGAACAAAAGGGCAGAGATAAAGTGTTCCAACTTACAAACTCTGAGGTGGCAGAGTGAGACATGGCTCCGGCCACACACAACTCAGCCCTAAGAGTCTTGTGGTAGCAGAATTTTCCTATTCCCTGAACACCGGTGAAGCTGGTAAGTACCTTCACTGCCTTTTTAAAATTTATTAAACATTTTTTTACTTGTTTATCTATCTTGTATGGGGGTGGGGGTTGTGAGCGCTCATGGAGACCAGAGGGCAACTTTTGGGAGCCAGTTCCCTCCTTCCGCCTTGTGGGTTCTGGGGCCCAAACCCAGGTGATGAGCCTTGGCGACAGCCACCCTTACCTGATGACCATTCTGTCCTCCCTCCCTCATTTTTACTTTCTTTTGAGACAAGATCTTGTTGTGTGTCCCAGGTTCTCCTTAAACTCTCTAGTCCCCTGCCACAGCCTCCCGCATGCTGGTATTACAGACTCCGGCCACCATACCTGGCTGTATCATGAAGGCTGTTAACATGTCTAAGTCCCTACAGTCAGGAAATAGGAGCGGGGTTCCACTGTGTCTAGGAGCTTAGTCTCAGGTGGAGCTGGAGTCTGGGATCTCCCCAGTCTCTCCTGGTGGGACTCTGGAAACAGGAAGCTTCTTGGCAGTTATGGAAGGTCCTGCATCCCTCGCAGGCTGGGTGTGGTTGTCCGTCGCTGAGCCAGTAAATAAAGCAGACTTTAACTTTCGATGCTTTGACAACTTGCTTGGGTCCGTGGTGCCCTCTGTGAGCTGCCCAGCTGCCATCAGATAATAAAGAACCCCCTTAGGAGAGTGCCCTTCACATATGCTCCAGCCACACCTGCCATTTCCTTTGCAGGACTCACACTTGAGGCTGCTATTCTCTCAATCCCAGTCACTCACAAACAAGTGCCGAGTATGCCCATCTTGGCAGGCTCTATGCCTGCCTGTCTGCCTCCCTCCATGTTTCCCCTTTGCCCTCTGACCTATGTCATGGCTACTCTGCATGGCAGTGGGGTGCACCTTCCTGCTGGGGACTGTGAGTAGCAACCAGAGCCACATCTGGCCAGTTCCTTTTTTTTTTTTTTTTAAGATCTTATATAGCCTAGGTTAGCCTCAAACTTGTGATCTAGCAGAGGATGACTTTGAACTTCTGATCCTTCCGTTTCCACCTTCAAGTGCTAGGATTACACGCTTGCAATATCATGTCTATTTTATATGCTGCTGGGGCTCAAACCTGGGGCCTTGTCTGTTAGGCAGTACCCTACCACTGAGCTGTATCCTAGCCCAAGCCGATGCATTTGAAAACGGTGAGTGTGGTGTATTGAACCCTACCCAGGAAAACAATTTCCAGAAATGTGACAATGTGGCCCTTACTAGGGGCTGCGACCTGGAGCATGCCCTGGGCCACTATGCTGAGAGACAGTGGGAGGAGCAGAAGACGAGCATCCTGCAGGACAATGTTTGGTGTGAAACTCCATAGAGAATTCATACCACTTTGTGCCGTGCTTGGCAGATGTGAAGATATCCCCACAATTGACCTAACACTGAGTCCAGATAGGGCTTGGATTCTGAACCAAAATTGCCTTTGGAGCAATCAATCTAGGAGCATCTAGGGAGGGAAAAAGATACCATTGTCTGCACGGCATGGGGAGCTGAGGGTGCTCAGTTTCCCTGGCCTTGCAGGGAAGGCGCTAGGGCAGTCTTCCAGTGGACATGGGTTGGCCATGGGGTGTGGAGAGAGAGCAGCCAAGTTTAGCTTGGCCTTGGTCAGTTCGTTGTTGACAATACAACCCTCTCCCTCCAAGCTTTTCTCCAGCTGAGACCTCCGAGGACAGACTGTGGCACTGTGTGTGTCTGTGTGCCCCTCTGTGTGTTTTCTTGGACAAATCTTTGGTCCTTTATTACCTGTTCATTGCTCTCGCTCTTACATCTGGTCTGCTTAATGCTGCAAACGTAACCGTGTTCAGTCTCCTGACAGTACTAACACTGCAGCCCATGTTGGTTCTGGTCTCTATAGCAACAGTCTAGCTCTGCCTCCCCAGCACACACCACTGTGGACAACACA